AAGCATGATTTGTGCCACGCTCAAAACAACTGTTAACTCAGAACTGCGAAATCTGACTTCAGTGAGTTCAAGACAACTGGGTACTCGGGAAAAACAACTGGGAAAATGTGAACGGTCATCCAACTCAGAATTGTAAATCCGGAACTTGAGCCTCTTTCTATGCCTACGACCTGAAGATCACTGACGTCATCATGATTCAACCTTGTTTTTTTTCCGAGTTCCCAGTTGTCTTGAAAGCACCATAAATCCAGAGAATAACAGACTTTGATGATGAAGTTTGATGACAAAATTTGCCACGAAGGACCACCGCGCCACCTTCCTGTTCAAGTGGGCACAGCACAACAAGGTGAGTCCAAAAATGTATTGTATGCTGCTGCATAAATTATGTAATATGCCAGGGAGATGTGCATACTGTAACTAAGAAAGTAATACTAAGTGTATGTTGTGTAGTAAGCTGTTAGTAGCCCATGTGCTTCACCCTAATAATTTGGTGTATTTTCCCCTCTTAATTTCGCCTATTGTTCTGACTTGGTGGTGCACATGTAGCCTATAACCTATTTTAGACAAATGTAATCATCGAATATTGTAAGAGCTTTCATTGTCTGCTTATATGCCCCCTTTATTTATCCTACGGTTCTGACTTGGTGTACAGAGAGAACACTGTAAGAACGGTCCATGTTCTGAATTCTGTCGCTGTACATTTCAAAAGTGCTGAAAAAATAGTTATTGACTACGTCCGTCCAAGCTCGCTAATTAATGTCTTAATCGAAATAACGGATTGCCTCTTATCCGCTTGTCGCTGCCAGACAAGGCTCCGCTGATAGCCAGGTGTAGCAGTGGTAAGGTGTTGGGACTGCCGTTGGGACTCTGCTGTTGGGACAGCTTTATGTAGGCCCTAACAGTTTGTGGGCACCGTTTGTCACCGTTATAGTGCAATTAATGTATTGTTTAGTGTTGTGTTGTGTAGTGGCTTTGCTGACATGCATCCCACATATACATATTTTTTCCCCCACCAACATTTACAGTGGGGAAAAAAAGTATTTAGTCAGCCACCAATTGTGCAAGTTCTCCCACTTAAAAAGATGAGAGAGGCCTGTAATTTTCATCATAGGTACACGTCAACTATGACAGACAAAATGAGGAAAAAAAAATCAGAAAAAAATTTGTTATGAATTTATTTGCAAATTATGGTGGAAAATAAGTATTTGGTCAATAACAAAAGTTTCTCAATACTTTGTTATATACCCTTTGTTGGCAATGACACAGGTCAAACGTTTTCTGTAAGTCTTCACAAGGTTTTCACACACTGTTGCTGGTATTTTGGCCCATTCCTCCATGCAGATCTCCTCTAGAGCAGTGATGTTTTGGGGCTGTCGCTGGGCAACACAGACTTTCAACTCCCTCCAAAGATTTTCTATGGGGTTGAGATCTGGAGATTAGCTAGGCCACTCAAGGACCTTGAAATGCTTCTTACGAAGCCACTCCTTCGTTGCCCGGGCGGTGTGTTTGGGATCATTGTCATGCTGAAAGACCCAGCCACGTTTCATCTTCAATGCCCTTGCTGATGGAAGGAGGTTTTCACTCAAAATCTCACGATACATGGCCCCATTCATTCTTTCCTTTACACGGATCAGTCGTCCTGGTCCCTTTGCAGAAAAACAGCCCCAAAGCATGATGTTTCCATCCCCATGCTTCACAGTAGGTATGGTGTTCTTTGGATGCAACTCAGCATTCTTTGTCCTCCAAACACGACGGGTTGAGTTTTTGCCAAAAAGTTCTATTTTGGTTTCATCTGACCATATGACATTCTCCCAATCCGCTTCTGGATCATCCAAATGCACTCTAGCAAACTTCAGACGGGCCTGGACATGTACTGGCTTAAGCAGGGGGACACGTCTGGCACTGCAGGATTTGAGTCCCTGGCGGCGTAGTGTGTTACTGATGGTAAGCTTTGTTACTTTGGTCCCAGCTCTCTGCAGGTCATTCACTAGGTCCCCCCGTGTGGTTCTGGGATTTTTGCTCACCGTTCTTGTGATCATTGTGACCCCACGGGGTGAGATCTTGCGTGGAGCCCCAGATCGAGGTAGATTATCAGTGGTCTTGTATGTCTTCCATTTCCTAATAATTGCTCCCACAGTTGATATCTTCAAACCAAGCTGCTTACCTATTGCAGATTCAGTCTTTCCAGCCTGGTGCAGGTCTACAATTTTGTTTCTGGTGTCCTTTGACAGCTCTTTGGTCTTGGCCATAGTGGAGTTTGGAGTGTGACTGTTTGAGGTTGTGGACAGGTGTCTTTTATACTGATAACAAGTTCAAACAGGTGCCATTAATACAGGTAACGAGTGGAGGACAGAGGAGCCTCTTAAAGAAGAAGTTACAGGTCTGTGAGAGCCAGAAATCTTGCTTGTTTGTAGGTGACCAAATACTTATTTTCCACCATAATTTTCAAATAAATTCATTAAAAATCCTACAATGTGATTTTCTGGAGAAAAAAAATCTCAATTTGTCTGTCATAGTTGACGTGTACCTATGATGAAAATTACAGGCCTCTCTCATCTTTTTAAGTGGGATAACTTGCACAATTGGTGGCTGACTAAATACTTTTTTTCCCCACTGTACATGCTAAAATCGCCACTGAAGGATAGAGTAGCCTACTTTTACCAGTAGACAATTGGGTAAAAAACTGTCAATCTGTTACCGTCCCAGAACTCCAAATTACGAGATAGGACAACGCAGTCGATATCTCAACTAAAAAGACAAAGGATAAACAGCGGCATTTGTCAGGCAGGTATAGTCGCAATGCAATTTAAAACTAGAAAGCCTGAAGTAATTTTTTGTGGAACAACACTCTGGTAAGCCGAGTGGGCTCCCGTGTGGCGCAGCGATCTAAGGCACTGCATCTCAGTGCTTGAGGCGTCACTACAGACCCCCTGGTTCGATTCCAGGCTGTATCACAACTGGCCGTGATTGGGAGTCCCATAGGGCGGCGCACAATTGGCCCAGCGTCGTCCGGGTTTGGCCGGTGTAGGCCGTCATTGTAAATAAGAATTTGTTCTTAACTGACTTGCCTAGTTAAATAAAGGTTTAAAAAGTAAAAAAAGCCGCTCTGATGTGACCACTTTGTATACAGATGTCTATATAGATTCCATACAGGACGGGGTCGTATTGTCTTGTGGTAGGCTATAGCTCACGACCTAGGGACAGGAGCGGGGTTGAACACTCATGGGTGGACTATATAAGTGGGGGAGGGGTTGATAACGTATTAAATGGTTATTACATATTTATGGTATATAGGCATTATGTCAGTGGTCACCAATCTTCAAGGCATTCCTAGTCGATCACCAAATATTTCTGTAGAAAAGCCAACAGTAAAGGCTTGCGCTGTTGGTGGTAGGTGCACTTGATTCACCGGGTATGCAAAATGTTCCCATTTTGAGCAATTTCAGTCGTCTGAAAAGACTAACTCCGCGCGGACCGGGAGATCTGTGGCTAAATCCAGTGCGCCTACCGTGCTGGCCAATTGGATTGCTCAAATCACTGTGCATACAGTTTCCACAACCCCAGCCACAGCAAAGTTTAATACAAGCCTATGTGAGATTCATAACTTTTGAAACCTTGAGCAGAGAGAGAGACTGTCAAAGAATACAGCAAAGAGCTGATGTTTTTATGAGTGAGTTCATGTCTAAGTTTTTATTCAGCACAGCACAGCATAGTCAAAGCTGTTTTCAAAGCTTTTTTATTCAACACTATTACAAAACATAAAACGTGCTTCTCCCTACTTCCCCTGGCGCTGCAATGAATGAGTAGCCAAGTGTATCGATAGTCATGCGTTTTTTATTATTATTAGCAGCTCGTCGTGGCTACTCCGCGTTGCGTCGTGCGTAAGAACAGCCCTTAGCAGTGGTATATTGGCCATATACCACACCCCCTCGGGCCTTATTGCTTAATTATACAACTACCATTTTTGCCAAAGCAGAGATGCTGAACAAACGTTTTTGCTTGCACTTCAGATGTCTATATCGGTCCGCTAATACTAGTAAAGGCCCAGCGCACTACTTTTGTGAAAAAAATATTAGTTTCCTAAAACCCTCAACAACCCTACTTCCCGTGGCTATGCGGTGTCCCCTCTCTCTGGTCAGTCTCACTGGAGGCGGACCATCTGCTGCTCTCTCACTCCCTCCGCTGAGACTAATGTTATGTTCAAAACAACTGGGAACTCGGAAATCTCTGAGTTAACAACAATGACCAGAAACTGCCATGTGGGTAATCGTAAGTGGCTTGTTTCTGCTAGTTTCATCTTGTTCTTGATATCATGTCTTGTTTTGTGGTGTTTTGACTGATTTAATGTCAATGCTAATATGGCAAAAAATGTGCTAGCTAGCTAACCAATAACTGTAACGATGTATTTAAGAAACAACAAGTGTTCATTGTGCAAATGTACTTATGTTTTAAACATTGTCAACAATCTAAGCCAACCCAGTCTTGTTTTGCCGCATAGTTGCACACGTGTCAGTTTTGTTGATAAACAACCAACACCTCTATAGTAAACTTAAATTAGTCTTTGAGGCCAGGCTGGGGTAGGCTAGGCCTAAATTATAAACTCAGTGTTGCAGAGAAAGATGAGAAAGCGAAAGTCTGTTTTGAAAGTTATTGTCTGCTACATTTGCCACAGAATTATTGAAGGTAATGATTATTTTTATTTTCTCTCATTGTTCAGTTGTTCATCTCTTATTTGTTGCATGCTAACAAATAAGAGATGTTTATATAAATCAGATTTTACTAAGTAGCCCAGGCTAGTAATGCTTCCTAACTAGTGGCTATTCGCTTTGGATCTAGATTAAAATTGATTGTACACAGCAGCATGCAAACGTGGAGATATATTTTGATTCACATGGGTTTCACTGGTGTGACAGGTTGCCATTATGATAAAAGTCTAAATTCTGGCATAGGCCTACATCTGTTGTTTTTTGTCTTGTAGATTTCCATTTTTCATCTGACAGATGGGTCCCATTGTCCTTGAGAGGGGTACCTCTCTCTCCCCCCTCCTCTCCCCCATCCTCCTCTCCCCCATCCTCCTCTCCCCAGCTGTCACTTGAACCCCCTTTTCCCATGTCCACCCAACCTCAGTGTCCCCAAAACCCCCTCTCAAGGACTTTCTGAATCAGATGGTGAGTGTGGACGGTGCCATGGTGAAGTTTGAGATCTGCGACACGGCTGGTCAGGAGTGCTACCACAGCCTGGCACCTATGTGCTACAGAGGAGCCCAGGCAGCCATAGTGGTCTATGACATCACCAACACAGTATGAACATCTTAGATGATAACATCTCCCTCTCTGTTTCAAATGCTCTGTCTCCCCCTTTATCTCTCTCTCACAATCCTCTTCAGCCCTTCTCCTTCCTGCATAATGACTCCCATCTTTTCCCTGTTAATCTCTTCACCTTTCCTCTCACTTTTTCCACTAATTTGTAGTGAAGTAATTCACCAACAATGCTAAGCATCTGTTAATAATTCTCGCCAGAAATGTCACATATATCCCGCATTTACAGTATACCACTGTGCAGAGGTTTGAGACAGATGTTTTTAGAAGGACATTCCTACAGGTCTAGCAGTACATCTTCCCTGTTCCTTCTGGCCATATCTCATCTTTATTTTCTATTCTGGATAGGAGACCTTTGTACGAGCCAAAGCCTGGGTGAGCGAGCTCCAGAAACAGTCTGTTAACAGAGCGGTGGAGTATACGGTAGGCTCCTGTGTGTATACCTCACACCCAAGATAGCCAGATAATGGCCAAATGCTTGTGCAGTGATGTGTGTGTAACAGGTCTACATGTCTGTGGTGTTTTTTCAGGATGGTCAGGGCTAAGTTGCTGACAACAGTCTTTTCTTCATGGAGTCCTCTGCCAAGACAGCCAGGAATGTCAACAACCTCTTCCTGGTCATAGGTGAGTCACATCTGACACGCCATCATCCAAATTCATAGGGTTGAAATGGGCTGGAGATGATACTGTGGCCTTCTTTCTCAAGGACTTCAATATTCAATGTTATATAGCAATGTTATGGGACAAAACTATTCAAAACAAATCAACCCAAACAAATCATAATTCCTTTGACAGAGCATTTGTTTTTGCCATGGATAGTTTACTCCTCATCATGACACCGCTAAGGGATAATGTCCCTATATAGCCACAAGAGGGTGATAAAACCTCATGGTGTACACAATATGAGCAGCTATCAATCACCTTGTTTATACTGTTGCCATCTCAACTATAAGCAACACATACTATAATTGTTATATGTGGTCCTCTATGTTGATATGCAGTACCATGATTTGTTGTCTGTCTTTTTTCTAGCCAAGAAACTGCCCAAGAGTGAGCCACTGGGTGGAGTAGCGGGTAGTGCTCGGGTTCGAGGAGGACCTCCAGTGGATCTCAGGCAACCTACCCAAACAAGTCCAGCCCAGTGCTGTGGAAACTGAGGAGGGAACGGGGGAGAAGAGGAGAAGCAAACTGAGTGTACAACGGGACCAAATGAAAGTGTTTCACAGCAAGCTCACAACTGAGGGAGCAGGGAAGGCTAAATAGATTTTCCAGAGAAAAGAAGGGAGAGTGGAAGAGAGATAGAAGTGCAGCATGCAAATGAAAGAGGGAGTTAAAGGAATTATAAGGGACAAATATATAGAGCAATGGGAGGAAAACAACACTGGAATAAGATTAACTTCTATCTTGTCAACACTACTGGACAGCCACTGATAAATACACGAATGGTCTGTGATCCATACACTCTTTAGTCTTAGGCTTTATAACACTCCTGTAACCTTTCCATATTTTCATGGGTATATTTAATATTATGATAATAATTCAGAAAATGTCGTAAGATGTCGTAAGAATGGAAAGAGATCAAGGGATGATATTGGATTTGTTTCATATTCATTGATAATCACTTCAAAACGTCAGCTGAATTTTGTAACAATTACTTTGTTCGTGAGGTCAGTAGCTAGGTTTCCATCTAATTGGTGACAGATTTTCATGCGAATATTCTAAAGTCCGCAAAGAACTATATGCGCAATATCCATCAAATTGACTTGTTGTGGATAAAAGGCTGTGCTTGATGATGTAGTGCACATAAAAATACCTTTTGCGTTTAAATTCCCAAGTACCAAATAAAACATTCAAGTGAAATAGGTTTCCATCGCATTTTAAACTTACAAAAAATGTTGCGTTATATACTGAATGTGCCCACTCTGGTATTGGCATGTGCGCTCTAGCCAACAGCTCGCAGATACAGTGTGGGTATAGCCTACATCAGTGGTTCCCAACCTTTTTAGGTTACTGTACCACCAACTGAATTTTGCTCTGTCAGGGTTACCCCTGAAGTACACTACATGACCAAAAGTATGTGGACACCTGCTCGTCTAATATTTAATTTCAGATTCATGGGCATTAATATGGAGTTGGTCCCCCTTTGCTGCTATAACAGCTTACACTCTTCTGGGAAGGCTTTCCACTAGATGTTAGAACATTGCTGCAGGGACTTGCTTCCATTCAGCCACAAGAGCATTAGTGAGGTCGGGCACTGATGTTGGGTGAATAGGCCTGGCTCGCAGTCACCATTCCAATTCATCCCAAAGGTGTTCGATGGGGTTGAGGTCAGGGCTCTGTGCAGGCCAGCCAAGTTCTTCCACACCGATCTCGACAAACCATTTCTGTATGGACCTCACTTTGTGCATGGGGGCAATGTCATGCTGAAACAGAAAAGGGCCTTCCCCAAACTGTTGCCACAAAGTTTGAAGCAAATAATCGTCTAGAATGTAATTGTATGCTGTAGCGTTAAGATTTCCATTCACTGGAACTAAGGGGCCAGAACCATGAAAAACAGCCCCAGACAATTATTACTCCTCCACCAAACTTTACAGTTGGCACTATGCATTCAGGCAGGTAGCGTTCTCGTGGCATCCACCAAACCCAGATTTGTCAGTCGGACTGCCAGATGGTGAAGCGTGATTCATCACTCCAGAGAACGTGTTTCCACTGCTCCAGAGTCCAATTCCAGCAAGCTTTACACCACTCCAGCCGACGCTTGGCATTGCTCATGGTGATCTTAGGCTTGTGTGCGGCTGCTCGGCCATGGAAACCAAATATGACGCACTGACTTGTTGGAAAAGGTGGCATCCTATGACAGTGCCACGTTGAAAGTCACTGAGCTCTTCACTAAGGCCATTCTACTGCCAATGTTTGTCTATAGAGATTGCATAGATTTTATACACCTGTCAGCAACGGGTGTGGCTGAAATAGCTGAATCCACTAATTTGAAGGGGTGTCCACATACTTTTGTATATATAGTGTACCGCATGTGCATTTTACCAGTAGGCCTATGGTCTCATGAGTCTTATCAAGTACCCCCTGTGGATCGGCCAAGTACCCTAGTACCCCTGGTTGGGAAACACTAGCCTACATGATGAGATTATTATGGGAAAAATAGCAAGATTATATTTTTTTTGTCAAATGGCAGCCAAGTGTCGATGATCATGTCACCAGAATAAGAATCTTGATATTTATTGGAAAGGAGCATCAAGCTCATCACCTTGCACTTTCACCACCCTGTGAAGTTCATCATAACTTATTTCATATGTAGCCTAATAAACTGCATGCTTTTCTGATGAGTCGTAGTGGGAGGACCACACAACATCATCGCGTGACTTCAAGTTTACTTCGATATGATGGTTATTATATCAATATACAGGCCTGTATGACATTTTTTACCCGACATGTACATTACTGACATAAAAAGGTTGGATGGAAACCTGGCTAGTGTGAACTATTTATACCAGGGTATGTTTTGGGCAGTGTCATAACCCTTTGACTTTTGGGGGTGAAGTAAGTGAACGGGTACACATGCAGCTGTGGGAAGGGTGGAAGTGACCTTGTACGGGTCGGAAAAGGAGGGGTGACCAGCCACTCCATGCTCAAAGACAGACAAATGAGTACCTTTAAATTGTATTTTTACACTCATCAGTTCTCCCAGTAGGCTACAAATGGAAGGCCAATGGAACACATGCTGCGACACTGCTTCTTATGTTTCAGTCCATGACAAGGCATGTTGTTTTACCACAGACACATTGCTCACTGCAAATATTACAGTGGTAAAGTTTCATATAATCCGCTGTTTCTGTGTATTATGTTTTATAAAAACACAAAGTAGCCTATATATTTTTCTAATGGTGTTCCAATATACAATTATAATAAGCACTATATGCCCACTGGATTTCATTTCAAGTCTTGTATTATCAAGCTTTTTATCACAATGTGCATTGGCCCATGTATGCATATCCTGTATTGCAGTCCAAATGTCTTGTATGTTTACAAATTAAGTGCCTTTCTTATTGAATCTGTTACTTGTTGTTTGTATTGTCTATTCATGTGCAGTTTGATAATAAATCATTATTTAACGTGACAAAATAAAATGTAAGATGAAATAGAAATAGAATGGCGCTGTACACGTGGCGCTGTACAAAATATTTATTCTTTAAAAGAATAGAATTCATTCAAAAAATACATACTTTATCTTAACTATTTGGTGAAAATATGATAATAAAGCATAAGCATTACCACTGAGGAAGGTATATATGTTTTTTTCCTTCTTTTTTTGTTGCCATTTTAGATCATGATGCAGCAAATCCTGTTTGGAAGTGCAAATCACAAAACTAGTTGTGCAAACTTACAATAGCAGAAGCATGCTGAAATAACACACACTTTGTGCCAAGACCCTGCTGAAAAACAACTTTTGTATCAAAGACAGTTGTTTTCAGAAAAAATACCTAAAACGTTAAAGATAAATTGTGACATCAAGGAGTATTAGAGATATAAAACACATAACAGGTAGTATTGCACGTTTAGAAACCTCCAGAGTACATATAGTGCCTTCAGAAAGTATTCATACCCCTTGACTTTTTCCACATTGTTGAGTTACAACCTGAATTTAAAATTGATTAAATTGAGATTGTGTCACTGATCTACACAGAATACCCCATAATGTCAATTTGGAATTATGTTTTTAGAAATGTTTACAAATTAATTAAAAATGAAAAGCTGAAATGTCTTGAGTCAATAAGTATTCAACACTTTCGTTATGGAAAGCCTAAATAAGTTCAGGAGTAAAAATGTGCTTAACAAGTCAGATAATAAGTTGCATGGACTCTATTTGCGATTATAGTGTTTAACATGATTTTTAAATGACTACCCCATCTCTGTACCACACACATACAATTATCTGTAAGGTCGCTCAGTCGAGCAATGAATTTCAAGGACAGATTCAACCACAAAGACCAGGGAGGTTTTCCAATGGTTCGCAAAAAATATAATAATGTAGATTAATAAATAATATCCATAGCAGACGCTTGATCCAACGCTTAGCAAGAAAGGGGCGGCAGGTACTTAGTGGTAAGAGCGTTTGCCGTACGAAAGGTCGCTGTTCAATCCCGAGCCACTAGTGAAAAATCGTCGATGGTGCCCTTGGCAAGGCACTAACCCTAAATCCTAGCGCTCGGATAGCGTCTCTAAATGACTAAAATGTGAAATGTGAAGAAAGGGCTATTGGTAGATGGTGTAAAAGAGGACATTGAATATCCTTGAGGCATGGTCATTATACACTTGGATGTTATCATCACACATCACTACAAAAGTACAGCGCCTCCTAAGGAAAGGTAGGAAACCGCTCAGCGATTTCACCATGAGGCCAAAACAGTGACAGAGTTTAATGGCTGTGATAGGAGATAACTGAGGATGGATCAACAACATTGTAGTTACTCCACAATACTAACATAAATGACAGTGAAAAGAAGGTAGCCTGTACAGAATAAACGAGGGAGTCTTTTTGGGGATAAAAATAAATGGAATAGAGCTAAGCACAGGTAAAATCTTCGAGGGAAAACTTGGTCCAGTCTGCTTTCCAACAGACACTGGGAGACAAATTCCTCTTTCAGCAGGACAATTACCGAAAACACAAGGCCAAATATACACTGGAGTTGCGTACCAAGACGACATTGAATGTTCCTGAGTGGCTTTGTTACAGTTTTGACTTAAATCGTCTTGAAAGTCTATGGCAAGACTTGAAAATGGCTGTCTAGCAATGATCAACAACCAACATGACAGAGCTTTAAGAATTTTTTTAAAGAATAATGGACAAATATTGTATAATCCAGGTGTGAAAAGCTCTTAGAGATACACCAGATACACCTAGAAAGACTCACAGCTGTAATCGCTGCCAAACGTGATTCTAACATGTATTGACTCAGGGGGTTGAATACTTATCTAATCAAGATATTAGTGTTTTATATAAATAAATAAATAAAAAAGATAGACTTCTTCTTCCACTTTGACAGAGTCTTGTGTAGATCGTTGACATAAATGACAATTAAATCCATTCCACTTTGTAACAACAAAATGTGGAAAAAGTCAAGGGGTGCGAATACTTTCTGAAGACTATCTCCTGCAGAAACAGACATTCAGGCAATAGAAACAGAATAGAAAACACAAATCACAAGTATCAAAGTCAGAAAGCAACATACTGAAATAATTCCTAACTTGACATCCATTTAACCCCCACCCCCTCCCTTATCTACAAGAGCTGCATTCTAACTTGAGAAACAAAGTCTAACACACAAAAGCTAATGTTGAAGGCATTGTAAGATTTGGACCCAAGTTCATTCTACAAACGCAGTAAAAAGACAGTAGCTGTGGAAACTGTGCAAATTTAAAAAAAGGTGAGGATTGGAAAACAGATCAATTCCATTTGACCTCACTAGCGTCAAACATGGGCAGGAATGTTGATAAAGGATGTGTCCCAAATGACACCTTATTCCCTTTATAGTGCACTACTTGAACCGAGTCAAAGATAATGCACTAAATAGGGAATAAGGTGCCTTTGGGACTCTGACAAAATCTCCTAAGAAGATTAATAGGTAGCAATGTTTATGTAACTCTTTCCAAGTCAAAAGATTATCCTCAGATTGTGTTAATGGTTATGTGTAGAGAGAGAAGAAAAACAAAGGATACATTGTCCAGCAATGCCAGATACAAAATATTAACATGTAAGGTTAATTCAGTAGTTTCACTGCAACTGTGCAAACATGACCTGACCTTACAAGCACTGAGTAGCATGCAGTACTGTTACTGTACATCAAAATTATTATCAGGTATCCTTAAAGGTTTACTATTAAATGGAATGTCGATACTTTTTCAATCATGCTAGTATTGTACTATGTTCAACTTCAAACAATGGACATCTGATAACTAAAGCTAGATGAAATTCAGTAAATTTATTAATCTTTCAAGTTAATCTTTCATATTCATAAAAACGCATTTTAGTGAGGCCAGAAAGGCACCAAGTCAGTCTTCTAGATCAAAATAAATGTCCCCGTGAAGGCCAGTGAGGCAGTGAAAACATTATGGTTTTATACCCATAAATGGAAATATTCCCTAAAAATATATAGTAGCTAGCTCATTGGCTGCCTGCTATTGTGATTACAATCTTGCCAGCATCTAAACTTATAAGAGCATAGAAACAACTATAATCGTCTTAATCTACAAATCACATAGTTTGCCTGTTTAGAATGCTAGAGGTCTGTTGTGTGTCCTTAAACATATCTGATAGTTCAGTGCACGCAAACAGAGGGAGGTCATTTGCCTTTTGTGCCGAACGGCAGGAAAACAAAACACTTAAGTTCAACCTTGCAAGTCATACCAAACATGCTGAGGGAGAGAGATTGGCTTTGAGTAGTCTGTAGACATTACTGGAATTCCACCCTGCCTAGTTGCATTAAGACAACTCCCAATATTGACTCTACCCTTCTATAGGTGTAAATGCTATATGGTAAATGGCATATTTTATTATATTATCAAGAGGCTGAGCAGTAATCTCAGAGAAGATTTGACCCTTCGTACCACAACAGGTCTGCAGCTCTTACGACAGAATGCAAGAATCATTGGGGTTTTTGGGGCTCTTGGGTTCATTGCCATTCGACGGGTCTCCCTCCTCATCATCTACTGGGGAGCCTTCATCAAGGGGCAGCTTTAGCCCATCACCCTCTTCCAGCTCGGGCATGTCAGCGCAGGCGTCTTCGTAGGCGCTGATGCTGTCTGTGTCATTGTTCCTGTCAGGGGAGAGGTCACGCCCGTTCTCCTCCTGACTGCTCCCGGGGGTCTGGCTACCCAGCGCCAACGGCCCAAAGGTCTTGTTGACCATCTTCGTGAACTTGGTGAAGCCACCCTCTGCCCCTTCTCCTACGTCCTCAGAGGACACCAGCCGGGCAACGTGGAGAGGAGAGGGCCGGGTCGGACTGTCAGAGGGCTGCTCCCCCTTCCCCTTTTTGAAGAAGGAAGCGAGCAGCCCCCCAGTGCTGGTCTCAGATGATAGCCCGTTGTTGGGCCTGGGGCTCTCACTGTCCAATCGGATAATAGAGAGAGGTGCATCTTGTGGAGAATTGTCCTCATCCCTTGGTGCATCCCTGATTTGTTCCTGTGCTTCCTTTTTGATTTTCATCTCTTGTGCTTGTTGTCTAGCCATCTCATCTTCCCTCTCCTGCTCCTTGACAAGTGTGTACACTGGGACTGCTGATATGGTGTTCCTCTCCTGTGGAACAGTATAATATAACAACTATATTAATAATGTTCACATCAGGGTTGTGCCCCAAATGGCACCCTATTCCCTATATAGTGTACTACTTTTGACCAGAGCCCTATGTAGGGAATAGGGTGCCATTTGGGACACAACCCTGTACAAACCTCAGTACAGCAGGGAAACAGGAAATCCCGAAGCTCATTGAGAAATTTACATTTCGATTTTCATTCTGTAAAACCGGATGCAAATGTCAACAGGACACTCCAGGTTAGAGGTGGGTGATATGAAAACCAGATTCAACAAATACAGTCATATAAGTATTTACACGGTCTGGGCTGCTACTATTACAAATATGAGTCCAAATCTCTGTCAAATAAATTGTATAGCCTTGTCTCTGGTACATCTTGTGCTACACTGTATTAATACATTCACAGCTCTATTTGCATTGCTTGAGGCATTGGCTGGGAAAGTAGCCAGGCCAATTGTCACGTTTCCGTTTCCCGATTGCAATAGGAAACAGGCAGCATCTGCATGTCTGTCAGCAAGTGGACAGGGGACAGGCCATCCTACTGCAGAGCAGAGCATGCACTGGGTACAAGGCCAAGGCCATTTGATGGGACACACACAGCCTTGGGCCACACTGGACTTACCCAACCACAAGACCATGCTGATGATCAGATTACCAAATTATTACGACCAAGGTCTCTTGAGTCAATGCAAAAATGTATTAGTTTGAAAATCTGAGGTTTCTTAAAGTGAGGAGAATATAGAGGCAGCTAGGATATATTGTTTAGCTCTTCTTATGGCTTTAAATTGCAAACAGGTGACTCCCTTCTAATCTGCCTCAAGCCTCAGTAGCAGATAACCAGATAAATGGACTGTGATAGGGATGCGGGTTGAACCCTGAGAAAAATGTGTACATCTTCTATTGTGCTGTGTGCTGCTCTCTTTAGATTAGAGCACAAAATGTACTCCACAGGACTTTAGTCAACATGTAGCATGCATAACAACTTTATCAAACATATTCCATTCTATAGGCTTTGGGACAGAACAAATATCTGTCAATCATTTAAAATTGCCCTACTTTAGGAATGGTAATGCGCGCACACACACACACACACACAGTGAGAATAACAGGTATGGTGGGAGGTTGTCCCACAGGCTGGAATCTCCCAGCAGCTGAAACACTTCATTCTGTCAAGTTCAGCAAAGCACAGTTGAGCCGAAAGAACAAGAGAACACTCCCCTGACAAACGAAAGAGTTACGCAACTAACAAGAGCTGGCATGCAGCAACAAGCCATTTGTCACTCTTTATGCCAAAAAACAGGAAGCCTGCTGTACTTGTGCCTCTCTCTCTATGATTATGTAAGCCCATCCTCCTCATCCCCCATTACCTCTTTTAGCCTCTCCACCTCCTGCATCAGAGAGCTGACAATGTCCTCCAACTTCCTCTTGGCCTCTCTCTCTCGCTCCAACTCCTACAAATGCAGAGAGACAGGTTAGCAGCATCAGTCCATATACGACCCATTAGATCAATGCAGCGGAGGGTAGTGAAATATTTTAGAGCAGTGGTTCTTAAAACGGTGGGTTGGGACCCACAGTTGGGCCACAGGAAATTGGACATTCCTACTGGAGCATTGTGTTGCTCCTCTAGGACCTTTTTACATATACAGTGCATTTGGAAAGTATTCAGACCCCTTGGCTTTTTCCACATTTTTTTACGTCCTAAAATGGATTAAATTAAAAATGTTCCTCATCAATCTACACACAATACCCAATAAAAGACAAAGCCAAAACAGTTTTCTTTGCAAATTTATTGAAAATAAAAAACAGAAATACCTTATTTACATAAGTATTCAGACCCTTTGCTATGAGACTCGAAATTGAGCTCAGGTGCATCCTGTTTCTATTGATCATCCTTGAGATGTTTGTACAACTTGATTGGAGTACACCTGTGGAAAATCAATTGATTGGACATGATTTGGAAAGGCAGTTGACAGTGCATGTCAGAGCAAAAACCAAGCCATGTGGTCGAAGGAATTGTCCGTAGAGCTCCAAGACAGGATTGTGTCGTGGCACAGATCTGGTGAAGGGTACCAAAAAAGTTCTGCAGCATTGAAGGTCCCCAAGAACAGTGGCCTCCATCATTCTTAAATGGAAGAAGTTTGGAGCAACCAAGACTCTTCCTAGAGCTGGCCGCATGGCCAAACTGCGCAATCGGGGGAGAAGGGCCTTGGTCAGGGAGGTGACCAAGAACCTGATGGTCACTCTGACAGAGCTCCAGAGTTCCTCTGTGGAGATGGGAGAACCTTCCAGAAGGACAACCATCTCTGCAGCACTCCACCAATCAGGCCTTTATGGTAGAGTGGCCAGACGGAAGCCACTCCTTAGTAAAAGGCCCATGCCAAAAGGCACCTAAAGGACTCTCAGACCATGAGAAACAACATTCTCTTGTCTGATGAAACCAAGATTGAACTCTTTGGCCTGAATGCCAAGCATCACGTCTGGAGGGAAACTGGCACCAACTCTACAGTGAAGCATGGTGGCGGCAGCATCATGCTGTGGGGATGTTTTTCAGCGGCAGGGACTGGGAGACTAGTCAGGATCGAGGGAAAGATTAAGTACAGAGAGATCTTTGATGAAAACCTACTCCAGAGCGCTCAGGACCTCAGACTGGGGCAAGGTTCACCTTCCAACAGGACAATGACCCTAAGCACACAGCCAAGACAATGCAGGAGTGGCTTCGGGACAAGTCTCTGAATGTCCTTGAGGGGCCCAGCCAGAGCCCGAACTCGATCGAACATCTCTGGAGAGACCTGAAAATATCTGTGCAGCGACGCTCCCCATCCAACCTGACAGAGCTTGACAGGATCTGCAGAGAAGAATGGGAGAAACTCCCCAAACGCAGGTGTGCCAAGCTTGTAGCATCATACCCAAGAAGACTCAAGGCTGTAATCGCTGCCAAAGGTGCTTCAACAAAGTACTGAGTAAAGGGTCTGAATACTTATGTTAATGTGATATTTCAGTTTTCTTATTTGGAAAAAGTCAAGGGGTCTGAATACTTTCCGAATGCACTGTATATTACATGTACATTCCATTTTAGTAATTTATCCAGAGAAACTTACAGACAGTGCATTCCACTAAAGGTAGGTAAGACAACCACAGTTTTTGCAAGGAAAAACATTCCTCAATAAATTTGTCTATCAGCTATTTTTAGAGCGATGACCCCACCTTAAGCCTCTCAGTATGTGGCTTTAGATGATTCATGGCTAGAAAGGAGTGAGTGCGTCCCAAATGGCACCCTATTCCCTATATAGTGGAATACCTGGAATAGTATAAAAGTAGTATAAAAGTAATCCTTCTACCCCCCCACCCCCACATAAAAAAAAAAAAAAAAAAGTGGTTGTCCCACTGACTATCATAAGTTGAATGCACCAATTTGTAAGTCGCTCTGGATAAGAGCGTCTGCTAAATGACGTAAATGTAAATAGTGCACTCCCACTATGGGCGCTGGTCAAAAGTAGTAAACTATATAGGGACATGGGTGCCTTTAGGGACGCATTTAGTGTGTATGACTAGGTGTACCATGGTGGCGTGGCTGGCCTCTCTCTGGGCCTCGGCTAGCATCTCCTCGGCCCCCTCCAGGGCGTCCTGCAGAACGTCCACCTGGAACAACAGAGTCTCCCGCTGCAGCTCCAGCCCACGCAGCTCCTGCAACACATCGTCGTAGCTCGCCTGCAGGTCAATCTGCATGAGTGATGTATTCATTAGTCATATCAGTGGGCAGCTTGAGCGATGTATACACAGGCATATCATTGGGTAGCTTCATCTGGCCATGATAGAAATGATTTGTCCCAAACGGCATCCTATTCCCTTTATAGGGTACTACTTTTGACAAAAGTGAATAGGGTGCCATTGGATCTCAGACAAACAATATACATTAGGCATGACAGTGTGCAGCTTCATCTAGTCACACTAGCAACAGCGGTGGTTTAATTAATGTGATTTGTTCTTCAGCTGTTAGATAATTATGTCATTGTTTTGATAGCTATTTCTGGTCTATGGTCGTATTTATCTGCGTCATACAAGGGTTTTTGTCTTCTTCTTTATATGGCAGAGAGTTACTGGCATTACAACACATCATTTTTTTTATAATATATTTCTGGGTAATTTGGTGTGAGCTTCATAAAGAGTGCGCACCCTTTGAATATGTAGAATGTCTAATTTGACATCCAGTACAACTGGTTATACTGCTAAAATATGAGAAAAGTTATCCTGCAAAACATCATCATTAAAACAGCTTGTGCAGATAATCACCATCTCAGGGAGTTCCATCATCAGTTCCTGATCTTCCTCAGACTGCTGAAATGACCAAGACCAAGATAAAAGGTCAACAACACTCATCAACAAGTAATATATGAGAAGTTTGAACATACTCTCAGTATGTTCAATAACAGTGATAGAATCAGAAGTAATCATGTTTACTACAGTAGGTATACGTCCCAAATGGCACCCTATTCCCTATATAGTGCACTACTTTTGGGCCGCAAACTAAATACAGTGAGGGAAAAAAGTATTTGATCCCCTGATGATTTTGTACGTTTTCCCACTGACAAAGACATGATCAGTCTATAATTTTAATGGTAGGTTTATTTGAACAGTGAGAGACAGAATAACAACAAAAAAATCCAGAAAAACGCATGTCAAAAATTTTATAAATTGATTTGCATTTTAATGAGGGAAATAAGTATTTGACCCCTCTGCAAAACATTACTTAGTACTTGGTGGCAAAACCCTTGTTGGCAATCACAGAGGTCAGACGTTTCTTGTAGTTGGCCACCAGGTTTGCACACATCTCAGGAGGGATTTTGTCCCACTCCTCTTTGCAGATCTTCTCCAAGTCTTTAAGGTTTCGAGGCTGACGTTTGGCAACTCAAACCTTCAGCTCCCTCCTCAGATTTTCTATGGGATTAAGGTCTGGAGACTGGCTAGGCCACTCCAGGACCTTAATGTGCGTCTTCTTGAGCCACTCCTTTGTTACCTTGGCCGTGTGTTTTGGGTCATTGTCTTGCTGGAGTAGCCATCCACGACCCATTTTCAATGTCCTGGCTGAGGGAAGGAGTTGAGTTGATGCCAAAGAGCTCGATTTGGGTCTCATCTGACCACAACACTTTCACCCAGTTCTCCTCTGAATCATTCAGATGTTCATTGGCAAACTTCAGACGGCCCTGTATATGTGCTTTCTTGAGCAGGGGGACCTTGCGGGCGCTGCAGGATTTCAGTCCTTCACGGCGTAGTGTGTTACCAATTGTTTTCTTGGTGACTATGGTCCCAGCTGCCTTGAGATCATTGACAAGATCCTCCCGTGTAGTTCTGGGCTGATTCCTCACCGTTCTCATGATCATTGCAACTCCACGAGTGAGATCTTGCATGGAGCCCCAGGCCGAGGGAGATTGACAGTTATTTTGTGTTTCTTCCATTTGCGAATAATCGCACCAACTGTTGTCACCTTCTCACCAAGCTGCTTGGCGATGGTCTTGTAGCCCATTCCAGCCTTGTGTAGGTCTACAATCTTGTCCCTGACATCCTTGGAGAGCTCTTTGGTCTTGGCCATGGTGGAGAGTTTGGAATCTGATTGATTGATTGCTTCTGTGGACAGGTATCTTTTATACAGGTAACATGCTGAGATTAGGAGCACTCCCTTTAAGAGTGTGCTCCTAATCTCAGCTCGTTACCTGTATAAAAGACACCTGGGAGCCAGAAATCTTTCTGATTGAGAGGGGGTCAAATACTTATTTCCCTCATTAAAATGCAAATCAATTTACAACATTTTTGACATGCGTTTTTCTGGATTTTGTTGTTGTTATTCTGTCTCTCACTGTTCAAATAAACCTACCATTCAAATTATAGACTGATCATTTCTTTGTCAGTGGGCAAACGTACAAAATCAGCAGGGGATCAAATACTTTTTTCCCTCACTGTATGCCAGTAGCTTCAGGCCATTTCCATGTAAAAGGATCCATGAGCACCAACATGTGAAGTTCATAGGAGCACATCAAATTAGGTGTCAAATGAAAGGTATTTCCATGACAGACTGACCAGGTGAATCCAGGTGAAAGCTATGATCCCTTATTGATGTAATTTGTTTGGGATGCTCTGGATCGATGTGTATGACTGCATGTTCGAGTTCCCACCAATTTCCAGCAACTTCGCACAGCCATTGAAGAGAAGTGGGACAACATTCCACAGGACACAATCAACAGCCTGTTCAACTATATGCTAAGGAGATGTGTTGCGCTGCTTGAGGCAAATGGTGGTCACGCCAGATACTGACTGGTTTTCTGATCCATTCCTTTTTTTTAAGGTATCTGTGACTAACAGATGCATATCCATGTGAAATCCATAGATTAGGGCCTAATTTATTTATTTAAATTGACTGATTTCCTTATATGAACTGTAACTCAGTAAAATCTTTGAAATTGTTGCATGTTGCGTTTATATTTTTCTTCAGTATAGAATTTCACACAGGGCACCTTTCCTTTGCCAGGCAGGCCTTTTGAAAGAAATAATAAAAAGAGTATACCCACTTCTCCAGGCACCACTGCTCTCCTGTTAATGTCACCTCTCCTGGGCTCTTACTGACACCTACCCATGAGGCCCCTCTCTTTCCATTTACTGTAACCAGCGACTTCACCCACTGAATACCGACCGACACCAGTCCATGGACGTTGAGAAGTAGTTGAAATTTGGTCAGTCCAAATCGGAACCAATCATATACGTCTATGTATCACCAGATTGGACAGAAAAGTAGAGGTCAGTACAGTACTGCACAGTAAAGTTTAGTACAGTAAAGAAAAGCAGAGTTTAGTACAGTACGCTAGAGTAGAATATAGTATAATTTACTGTATTGTACTGTACTGAACTCTACTCTACTGTGCGGTGCTGTACTGTGCTCTACTGTGATTTCAAAACTTATAAAACATGATCTATGATTGGTTCAGATTTCGTCTTGTCCGTACCAACCAAATTTGGTCTTGTTTGAATAATACCCAAACATACAAAGGAGGATATTGCATTTTTCTACCTTTGTTTACCTATTCAGGATACATCACAATGAATACATCACATATCCATAATTATGCAATTCTGTATAGTACAGATCAGGGACTGTGATGTCATTCTGTTTTGAAAAACCGAGGGAGCTTTGACCGTCATTCTGTAACAAAACTTCTGCACTGTTCTTCAAGTATATGTGTTTTAGTAAAAAAAATCTGTGGACATTTTTGAAAGTATACTGACCAAAAATATAAACACAACATGCAACAATTTCAAATGTTTTACTGAGTTATAGTTCATATAAGGAAATCAGTCAACTGAAATAAATTCATTGGGCCCTAATCTATGGATTTCACATGACTGGGAATGCAGATATGCATCTGTTGGTCACAGATACCTTAAAAAAAGGTAGGGGCGTGGATCAGAAAACCAGTCAGTATCTGGTGTGACCACCATTTGCCTCAAGCAGCGCGACACATCTCCTTCACATAGAGACTGTTGATTGTGGTCTGTGGAATGTTGTCCCACCCCTCTTCAAGGGCTGTGCGAAGTTGCCGAATATTGGCGGGAACTGGTACACGCTGTCGTACACGTTGATCCAGAGCATCCCAAACATGTTCAATGGGTGACATGGCTGGTGAGTATGCAGGTCATGGAAGGACTGGGACATTTTCAACTTTCAGGAATTGTGTACATATCCTTGCTACATGGGGCTGTGCATTACCATGCTGAAACATGAGGTGATGGTGGCGGATGAATGGCATGACAATGGACCTCAGGATCTCGTCATGGTATCTCTGTACATTCAAATTGCCATCAATAAAATGCAATTGTGTTTGTTGTCGGTAGCTTATGCCTGCCCATACCATAACCCCAGCGCCACCAAGGGGCACTCGCCCACACAACGCTATACATGTGGTCGGCGGTTGTGAGGCCGATTGGACGTACTGACAAATTCTCTAAAACATCGGAAGCGGCTTATGGTTGAGAACTGAACATTCAATTATAAGGCAACAACTTTGATGGACATTACTGCAGTCAATATGCCAATTGCATGCTCCCTCAAAACTTGAGACATCTGTGGCACTGTGTTGTGTGACAAAACTGCATATTTTAGTGTGGCCTTTTATTGTCCCCAGCACAAGGTGCACCTGTGTAATGATCATGCTGTTTAATCAGCTTCTTGATATGCCACACCTGTCTGGTGGATGGATTATCTTGGCAAAGGAGAAATGCTCACTAACAGGGATGTAAACAAATGTGTGCGCAAAATTTAAGAGAAATAAGCTTTTTGTGCACATGGAACATTTCTGGGATCTTTTATTTCAGCTCATGAAACATGGGACCAACACTTTATATTTTTGTTCAGTGTAGTCTTTGGGTATAGAATTGTATGGTTTGTTTAACTTCGCAATCAATCGTTTTGTTTGGCATACATTTAAATGTGAAAACTTGAGTCTGCATCATTCTGTTAGCATGGAATTGCCCTTCATTCATTGCACCTATTATACCTGACTCCCACTGCTCCTCTTGAGGGTCCCCCCTCTGCTGTCACTGTGCGTCAGACGCCTAGCCGAACTCTCCGTCTGACAAAGGAACAAAAAGACATCTCAGACAGAGCCATAATAGTGGTGAAGAGAAGCTCTGCCAACCCTTCGTGTCAGGAAGTAATTTAGCCAATCATTGTAGCCATTGGCGCTCTGTAGAGTTGCTATTTTCTCGCGTCAATTAAATTGTGACATTCCTGCTTTACTCATTATACTAATAAAGTCTGATTTAATCAACAAATACGATAGTCAGTTTAAAAAAGGTTAAGGGCAGAAGACTGTGTACATATCTAGCTGTGTTGGCAAAATCACTACATATCCCATCGAGCCAAGCAGGGAGAGGCTGCCTGTTGTCACAGTTCCAAGACCAGTCAGAAACGTCTAGCTAACCGTATGCCAATGATGCTGGTGGATCTCAAAACTGAACTTGGATATGTGTCAAGGAGCAATGATATCCTTCGCCACCGTCGTCTTAAGACAGATATCTCGAACCAGTCATGACTATTCAACAAAATAAAACGATAAATCATTTTCACGTTTATTTCATGCGAATTTCTTAGTAACATGATTGTATAACTAGCAAAGGAGTTTATACGTTGAGAGTGCAGTATTTATGAAGTTTGGCAATAAGGACGAAAACTAGCATAGTTCAGCTAGCCAGCTTGTTTAGCCAGGGAAAACGAGCTCGGGTCTAGTGCGCATGTGCACAGCTGGGCGCACTAGGCTAATTTAGGAGACATTATGCACTGATATCAGGAGCTGGAGACTGAAACGAATGAATCAGATGACTCATATTTAAGGAGAGTGAATCGATATACAATCCCGAAATAAGCTGTAACTGTCAATAGTAAAACAAAGCTTTAAAAGATGTTTGAGTGAACCCTGAATACAGAAAATTAATGGTGAAATTGCTTCCGAACACGGTAGACTCCTCCTCACCACTATAATGTTAACAAAAGCATGTGGGAATAACTGTTTGCACCTTTTTACATTGTTCCCACATCCAATAGTCAGCTGGTATATGTCAACATGTTAAGATGGTTTAGCAGGTCCATCAATAAAATCTATACCATCTCCAAGCCTTTTAAACAAAGTGAAGAGCAGGCCATCTGTGAAACTCAATGCCTTGCATTTAGGAGAAAGGCTATATGATGCCGGATGCTTACTTTACAGATAGGTATGAGGTTCTTCTGTGATGCTCAATCTAATGAGTGGCCTGCTATTGAATATTAGCCTACATGTTATCACATAACTTACATGTATTTAGGGGTAAGGCTAGATAATGATGCCGAAGGATTCTTTTACAGATGGATTCATTAATTAAGCTCAATCAAATGAGTGGGCTATTGCTACTGTTTAATAGCCTAGGCTACATGTCAACACATAATTTACATTCATAGAGCATATGGATAGAAACATGGATTTTAGGCAAACCTCTAGGTCCAGTTCTTATGGACTGTAGGTCTACTGTACTCTACCAATAAGAACATAATTAAATAAACGTATAATGAACCACTGATGACTGAATTCTAACTACATTAGTCATGTAATGTGTCATCCCTATTCTATGCACACTGTAAGGAAGTAGCCATACTTGTTTTTTTACACTTGTGCCCTAATGGGATAGACACTAAACAGAGATTAGGAGAAGAAGCCATTTTAAGTAGCTAGCTAAACATAAAACAAGGATGTACATAGTTTGGTTACAATCAGGGCCGGTCTACCGCATTTGGAGCCCCGGGGAACCGACCTCGTCTGCATTCATCAATGTGCCATAAGGTAGCCTGATTTCAGATGTGTCCATGTAGACTAAACAGGATTATGAGGGAAATCGTTCTTCTTGCAAAGCATATTTATATTTAACGTTTATAAACGTTTTAATCGAACTATTATATTAATCTGACTATCAACAATAGTCACATTATGTGTGCATATAACCGTTTTCAATGTAACACCGCATGCTACAGTAACACTGGGATGAGAGTCGAAATGAAAATGAGTAGTAGGCTACACATAGGGTTAAAAACCACAAAGTAAACGAACGCCTAAAAATATAAACACAGGCGGTGGCTTACTGTAAGAGGATGAATCTTCTCGACTGTAACCACTAGTAATGTTGCTAATGCTAAGCTTCAATTCGCTAAGCTTCAATTTTAGTTGAATAGGCTATAATGTCAAATTAGACTCAATAAAAATAGATAGAGAAAATAGAATGTATGCCTCATGTAAATATCGCATTAAATGACGACGACGTGATTTCTCGACGCTCACCTCCTTGATAATGTTGCGAAGTGACTCATCATCGCTCACTCCCCGAGAAAGCGTCCTTTTCCTCGGTGACCCAACTCTTTCCAATGTCCCGGAATGCATTTTTCTAGTAGCCTACGATACACAAAACAATATGAATACTTTTCTTAACAACTAGATGCTATGAGTGCAATCAACACACCCGAGTAATGTTTTGTTTGGTGTGGATGAAGTTATCGCGACAGAATGAACTGGCTCCCAGATTGTGGGCGAAGGTTAACAAAACTGTAACGTGGGCGGAACCTGTTTGTCTCTGGGTTGCCTTTAGGATTGCCTCCGGAGGCTGGCATGGCGTAGAGTAGTGGTCACCAACCTTTTCTGAGTCAAGATAACTTTCGCAGTCAAAAAGCAACCCGAAATCTACCGCTAAAACATGAAAATGTAACATTAACCTAATAAAACAGTTCTGTAGGAAGGAGGTTTGTGCAGTAGACCTAATACATTATCACAGCATATTGGCTATATGCCTGGCTTGCCAATATTATTATCCTCAGACCATATTATATGTCAAAACTCGAACTTTGATAACAAAATAGTTGGTGTAAACACTTGCGAGCCACAGCTGAGCATAAATTGAAATAATTAGCATTTGTTTGTTTTTTACTGGACTTATGGTACTTGCGTCTGATGGTCATGGTGCTTTCAAGACAACGAGGTCAAATCATGACGTCGAGCTCTAGAAAGATGCCCGAGTTTCCGAGTCGGATGACGGTTCAAAACGATTTTTCCCAGTCGGATCTCGTATTTTTCAGAGTTCGCAGTTTTCTTGAACGCACTGAAGTCAGAAGTCGGAGATTTCCGAGTTCCAAGTAAGAACACCACATTAGTCTCAGCAGAGGGAGGGCGAGTGTAGCAGAGGGTCCGCATCTCACGGTCACTGCTCTCTCCTCCTTTTCCTCTGGTGAGACTTACCAGAGAGAGGGGACACATTCTTCCACATGATGGCGAAAACTCGACTCGCACCGCATCTGCCTCAGGCACAAATTAATGTTGTTCCTATGACCAGAGAAAATGAAATACTCCTCGATATTAAAATAGACACGAGGAGCTGCTAATAATAATAAAAACGCAGACACTTGACTACTCATTCATTGCAGCTGCAGCGCCAGTGGAAGTAGAGAGAAGCTCGTTTTATGTTTTGTAATAGTGTTGAATAAAAAGTGTTGACAGTGCTGAATAAAACGTAGACATGAACTCACTCATAAGAACAGCAGCTCTCTGGTCATGGTTTTAAAAGTTATGAAATCTCAAGTAGGCTAGTATCAAACTTTGCTGTGGCGGGGGTTGTGCAAGCTGGATCTCTCGATTTAGCCACAGATCTCCCGGTCCATCAGGTATTTGTATTTATTATGGATCCCCATTAGCCGGTGCCAAGGCAGCAGGTACTCTTCCTGGGTCCAGCAAAATTAAGGCAGTTATATATTTGAAAAACATTACAATACATTCATAACAGATTTCACAACATATTAGGTGTGTGCCCTCAGGCCTCTACTCTACTACCATTTATCTATAACACAAAATCCATGTGTACATGTGTGTATAGTGCGTATGTTATCGTGTGTGTATAGGCGGAGTTTGTCTTTTCAGACAAATGAAATGGTTCAAAATGGGAACAGTTTGCCTACCCAGGGCTTCTGAATCAAGTGTACCTACCGCCAACAGCGCAACACGGAGTAAAAAAAGCAGCGCAAGCCTCTATGCCTTTATCGTTGGCTTATCTACAGAAATGTTTGGTCATCGACTAGGAATGCCTTGAAGATCGACCGGTTGGTGACCACTGGCGTAGAGAAGCGGAGGCCAGGGTGTAAAACAAATAGGCTTAAGACTTCATAATGTCACAAGACAACTAAAGGAACACACACATACATAGGTAAGTTTGATTTCCATCCTACATCCCATCAGTTCTGCCTACTCTCAGTAAAGCCTACAGCAGAGTTCTTCAATTCCGGTCCTGGAGGGCCGAAACACTTCTGTTTTTTATTTCTACCTGGTAGTTAATTGCACTCACCTCGTGTCCCAGGTCTGAATTAGCCCCTGATTAGAAGGAGAGGCTGAAAAACAGAGGTGTTTCGGCCCTCCAGGACCGGAATTGAAGAACCCTGGCCTACAGCTTCATATTGTCTATGAATGTGCTCACAGTCCCACACATTTCGAAAGCACTAAAATCAGGTTCAGTCATAATTTGTTTATTGCCTATGCTCTATGGACATTTTCGGCATATGCTAAGCACTTTGCAGCTGTTGCTTCTCTCATTGACATTAGTGTTGCCTATTGATTGAGGGGTTTACAGCCAAAACAGGGTTTAGGCCTTGGCCTACTGTGGTTCCAGGGAGAGCGCATCTGTTAAACTGTTATGGTCCATCCACGTACAAGTACAAGTACAAGGGAATTGAGCGGCAACAAGTGTGGGCAGACTGGAGCTCGGAGTCGCTGTCATTCGATACTTGTAAAAATGTAAAATCTTAAACCCTTACCGTGTACCTATGTTTGTCCTGTGTTAAGTTGGGCCTGTATTTGTTTGCTGAAATCCATACTTTATTTACATTTTAGTCATTTAGCAGACGCTCTTATCCAGAGCGACTTACAGTTAGTGAGTGCATACATTTTTCATACTTTATAATAAAACTTTCATCAAATACAACCACCGACCGTTTCCTCATTTGGTTGCTCTAAAATGTGATTACCCTACGTACTCTGAGCTTCAATTGGCACATGCGCATTCGTGCTGAGTTGGCACCTTCGAGCAACAGAAACAAGGAAAGGGTCAGTGGTTTCAAAGTGTGACATAATGTACATACTACAGTGGCACGCAGACTCCTTACTACTTTCACATGCAAACCAATAAACACATTTGGACATTACTAAATACCGTTTTGAGGAAAAAAAAATGGGCAGCACTTTATTTCAGGATACAGAAAATACCATTTATTTACTTAGAAGGTACATTGTAAAATGGTAATTACACAGTATTAACCTATCAATTACTTGTTGATATCTTTAGGATTCATTCAAACAAGCGCCACTAGGCACCATTAAGTACCAAGTAGCTATTGTGTAGAATTCTTTAAAGTGTCAGAAATCCAAAATTCTAAAGGAGACTACTGGCAGATGTGCTCTACCAAGGACAAGAAATGCATATGGAATCTTACTAACTTCTGAATCTACGTTGTTTAACTGAAACTGTATATTCAGCCAGTAGGTGACAGTAGTAAGCTAGTTCTGTACTACACTACATTGTAGGCTACTCAACTGATGGACAAGTCAATACCATAATTGGTGCAATATTTACCATTAGGAATTAGCCAGAGATAATCACAAAATAAGTAATTACATTGATTCCGAATATTTAGCATGTATTAGCTGGAATTATTTTATGGCAGGCAGAGGTAATGAACTTAATTTACAAGTTAATTGTAGTTGGCCTACTGTAGGGGTTCAATTGTGTGGCTTCACATTTGTAGAGGCCTCACTAAAGTGTTAATAATCAATTGTGTATTCCAGGCTTGAGTAACAATATAACTTTAATGTTCATTGAGGAGATGAGGAGATTAGAAATAATAAAAGGGATTCATTTAAAAATAATGATGCATAAAGTATATGGATTGATTGATTGGTTGATTGATTGACTAATTGATTGATGTGGTTCGTTTATTGGTTAATTGATTCATTGCTAGTTTGGAATATTGTTTAGAAAGACAAAAAATTACCAACAGGCATTTGTCACTCAAATTGAGCTACTGTATTGAAATCTAACAGTTGTTACTAATGCACTGACCATGCACATAATGGTTGAAACAATCATAGATTGTCATAATGAACAAATATGGTAAGTTATGACAGCAAATCTTTATAAAACATTTTAAAAAGTCAGTGATAGATCACGAATTGCCTGACCAACATTACTTGATCATTTCACAAAATATGTTACCCGGGTTATCTCAATAAATAAAAAACTAAGGGCATATTACTCCCATATGCCTTTATGTAATAGAATACTTTGTTAACGTATTATGTAAAGCTTCAAATCACGTTTAGAAAAAGTTATGTTGCCCTCATGGAATGTAAATATAGATATATTTAAATCAAGTGTTAGGTGCAATTGAAAATTGACGCATTTGCTCCATTGTTTTCTTTTGTTGTCATATCCCACTCTTTTATGGAATGCATGGTTTTAACATCAGGGCCTACATGTTTGTCAGTCTATATTATAAGTTATGCTGCATTTGCACATCTTGATGTAAAAACACTGCATTAAAAGTCTTGAGGTAGTCTAACACAAAATGAGCGTCACTGTTGTCGACGTAATACTTCTTAAATTCCAAAGATGCTATCCCAATGCCATTTAGGACAACCTGTCACTCATGAGTCAAGTTTGAAAGTTTCACAATTCTACAGGGGTAGGCCAGGTTCAACGTATCAATGTATTTGACTCCTTTTACAAATAATATTACTGAACAAAAATATAACAGCAACATGCAACAATTTCAACAATTTTTCTGAGTTACAGTTCGTACAAGGAAATCAGTCAATTGAAATAAATAAATTAGGCACTAATCTATGGATTTCACATGACTGGGCAGGGTTGCAGCCATTGGTGGGCCTGGGTGGGCATAGGCCCACCCACTTGGGAGCCATGCCCACCCACTGGGGAGCCAGGCCCAGCCAATCAGAATAACCTTTTCCCCACAAAAGGGCTTTATTACAGACAGAAATACTCCTCAGTTTCATCAGCTGACCGGATGGCTGGTCTCAGACAATCCGGCAGGTGAAGAAGCCGGATGTGGCGGTCCTGGGCTGGCGTAGTTACACATGGTCTGCGGTTGTGAGGCCGGTTGGACATACTGCCAAATTCTTTAAAATGACGTTGGAGGTGGCTTATGGTAGAGAAATGAACAGTCACTTCTCTTGCAACAGCTCTGGTGGACATTCCTGCTGTCAGAATGCCAATTGCACGTTCCCTCAAAACTTGAGATATATGTGGCATTGTGTTGTGTGACAAAACTGCACATTTTAAAGTGGCCTTTTATTGTCCCCAACACAAGGTGCACCTGTGCAATGATCATGCTGTTTAATCGGCTTCTTGATATGCCACACCTGTCAGGTGGATGGATTATCTTGGCAAAGGAAAAATGCTCACTAACAGTTACGTAAAAACAAATCGGCACTAAATTTGAGAGAAATACGCTTTTTGTGCATATTACAATTTTCC